GCACAGACACTGGCACCCAGAGATGTTGCAACACTTTCTACACTTTGAGAACGTCACTGAGTCTATACACTCTGGCTGTTCACACTGTGTTGAGCTCATTCAGCAGCTGTGAACTATAACGAGCCTGCACATAAACTGACAGTATGGAAGAGGTTCAAGGAAGTTATGAACTGGACACAGTTTGATACATCCATCAAAATCCAGGCAGATCAAACGCATACACCAAGGTGTCACTGACTACATATTACACTCCTGAAGAGGAAAATTCTCCGGAAACTCTCAAACCACCACACCTCCCCATCCAATTTAGTTAAGCTGCTGTGTTCAAGTTGAAATCTATAATTTAAGGGAGAGGGAACTTCACAGACAGTTTTTAAACGTGAAAGCAAAGTAAGGCTGAAGTTTATTTTTATTTGGATGGAAATGCAGGGGCAAATTACTGTGAATGAGCCTTAACTTGGCTCCCAAATTGCTGCCAAAACGTATGACACAGACCATACTGGTCTGAAAGCTACACACTTCTGCTACACGGACATACCATCCTATGCACCGATTGCCCACGACATGCAATTCCTACTGGACCACAGTCTTTTTCTCCTCCAGTTCTCAGTCCTGCCCCAAGACTGCTATACTAACATCTCAGCGCCTACCCTAAACATGCACACTAAAAGCCTCCCAAACAAAGTCAAAATCAAGTAACCATGCAACACACCTCCATCATAATCATCCAGGAACCCACCCCTGCAATCAGCCCCGGTGCCAACTCTGCCCACACATCTACACCAGCGATTTCATCATCGGACCTAGCCACCAAATCAGAAGCTCATTTACCTGCACATCTACTAATGTGCTCTATGCCATCAAATGCCAGCAATGCAATGTATATTGGCCAAATTGGACAGTCTCTACTACGGGAAAGAATTAATGGACACAAATCAGATATGCAAAAAGGCAGTACACAAAAACCAGTTGGAGAACACTTTAATCTTCCTGGACACTCATTAATGGATCTCCATTCAGACCAATTCCACAAGCCAAATACAAAGAGAAGGGTTGGAACTTAACTTCATTCACATGTAAATGGTATGAACCGGAATATCTGCTGGCTCACACATCATCTTCCACATCTTAATGACAATCAACCAAACAAACAATGAAGGTGCTAATGGTTCTTATCAGCCTCTTGTAACTATTTGAACTATCTACTCACTGTCTCTTTTTCCTTCCTCCCCTTCCCCCCTTATTTATTCTTGGATCTGGACTTCTAACACTCCTGTCATCTGAAGAGGTAGGTTGTGCCTATGAAAGCTCATGATACCATTTACATCAGGGCTACTCAACTTTGGAAACCCTTGGGGGGGGGGGGGGCACAATGATACTCACAGCACATGCCAAGGGCCGCAACTTAAGTGTGGTGGCATGAACATGCAAATATGTGAAAACAACTTACTTCATATTGACGGGCATGACTACAAAGATTAAGGCAAGACTACACAACACACAGGCCCCATTTAAATCAGTTGTGCTGATATTAATAAAATGCAATATTTACCTGATTTCTACCCATACAACAGCACTTTTAATGAGCAATGATAATCCAGGAATTTAACTACTAAAACGCACATCAATAGAAGACCATAATATTGACTTTTTTGTTCTGGCTCCCACCCGGGGGCCATAAACAAATGGGCTACGATCTGCATGCAGCCCACGTGTTAAGTAGCCCAGGTCTACATTTTTTCTCATCTTTAAGGTGCTACTAGACTATTTGTTGTTGTTGAAGTTTTTCCTGTTACAGCCTAACTCGGCTCCCCCTCTGAAGATCTTATCAAGGTTTTCTCTAACTGAATAGTATACATGCACATACTAGGTACATCCATCATTTTGCCGGAAGTTGAAAAGCCACATCTCTTGCCATCTCTGTCACCTCTACAAGTATTGCTATTCCTCACATTGTAAGAGCTTCTCAGCCTTTACATGCAGTAACCTCAGAAAAGTAACATCCACTTACAACAGGAAAGTATTTTGGGGTCAGTTAAAAAAAAAAAAAAAAAAAGGTGTGATCATGACACCCCCAGATTTGAGAATCCATGTGTTACATGGGGGGAGGGGATGGTAATTAACGTTGTACATTATACAGCCCAGCTTCTTTAGCCAACCACTTTGATCCCATCCACTCTAGCACAACTAACCACAAACCATCACTGCAAGTATATCACTCACCAAACCAAGTGGGACACATTAGCACCTTACCTCTTCCAGACAGAGCCAAATGAATGTTGCACACAACGAATGACAGTTTCATTGGCAAAAGATACACAGCTATGTGTGTCAAAGCCTTGTCAAAGTGCTGTCCTACTGTCGAGTGGCTCAAACTCTTAATCATTAACACCAGAAAGGTTGAGGAGTCCTGTGGCACCTTATAGACTAACTGAAGTGTAGGAGCATAAGCTTTCGTGGGCAAAGACCCACTTCGTGCATCTGACGAAGTGGGTCTTCGTGCATCTACATGCATCTGACGAAGTGGGTCTTTGCCCACGAAAGCTTATGCTCCTACACTTCAGTTAGTCTATAAGGTGCCACAGGACTCCTCGTCGCTTTTGCAGATTCAGACTAACACGGCTACCCCTCTGATACTTGACTCCTAAATCACAGGCACTTATCTGCCAGATATGGATAATATAAAAGAGCAGTGGTATTCCAGGACAGAGTTAAGACTATTTGGAGTTCCTGAACTTGTCACATTTCCCTCCCACTTCCAAGCGTAACCATGTCTTAGAATCATTTTACTTTTTTAGGGATGCAGTTTTCTTAAGAGAACAAACAAAAATAATCATCTCTCTTTATATATGAAAAAGCTTTTCCTGACGGGCAACAGAATGATATCATCATGCTCTCGGGCCACAAAAGCAGACAGAGAAAGGGTGGTTGGCGAGCATAGCAAGCACGGGACGCAGCCCGCTAGTAGTAGTAGTAATAATGTTTTTTGTCTCCTAAATAAACAAACAATCTGAAGATGCCCTGGGGCTTGGTGATCCCAAAGGACCCAGGGTTGCCATCACTAGTGTAGGAACGGCAGTGGCCAGGGCCCTCGGTCCTTTAAATCACCACTGGAATGGCACGGGCATGGGGTTTACTCTGGGCAACTCTGAGGGCTGGCTGGGGAAGGACAGCGTGGCACACTCCGGGTGGTGCTGTGGACTGGCTGCTGCCAGCTCGGTCCCTTCCACACGAGGCCCCACCCCTCCCAGGAGCAGAGAGACCTCATCCCCACCTTGCCCAGGGTCCCAGCAAGTCTATCAGCTCCTCTGCATACAACCTGTAGTTCAGTTCAAACAAATCCACTTTACCAACGTTCCATGGCTGTGGAACTGCCACGTATTCAGAATCTGTTCCTCTTCTCTTGACGGGCTTGGTTTTTAGAACCATCATATTATTTGGTTTACACTAGTCGCACACCCTTTTGCTCTTCCCTGCAACCATTTCCACCCAAAATAGCTCACAGAAGCCACTTCTGCCCACCCCTCCTTGGCCTGGAATCCAGGATTCCTAGCAAGTCTCGTTATGACTAGGAATCACCCTGGCCTCTGCCGCCCCAAATGATGCAAGGTGTCCAAGTGCAGTCTCCACATGTGTATGCATCTGCAGAGCTGCTGGCTCAGCCTACCGGAGACACTGTCTACCGCCACATTTGCCTGGACTTCCCCCAGCCAGACAGGGCTGACTACCAAACACCTGGGCAGCGATCAACAGGCCACAGGAAAAGCACAAGGCGGGAACCAGCAAAACAAAACCTTCCGAGTTCTAATTGTGGCTTATT